GCATTTCAAAAGGCAGCGTAGGAGTTTCTAAAATAGAAATAAGAATCTTTGCATATGTGTTTCTGCCCATTGTAACAGACTAGTTTTGCAGTGCCCCTTAAGTAATGGGGACATGTGATGAGTCGTTCTCAAAGTTGTTTTTTTTTTTCTTTTTCTTTGCTTCTAGGCCCTGAAAATATTGAGGACTTCAGAATTCATGCCCTATGTAGTGTTTATTGCTGCTCCAGAATTGGAGACTTTGCGTGCTATGCACAAGGCTGTGGTAGATGCTGGGATTACAACCAAACTTCTCACTGTAAGCAGATTATTTCATATTTAGTTTGCTTTGAACAGGATGTTCTTAGATTATTTTTTTCCTTTCATTTTAGATGGAATTTGTTCTGAAATTAATGTCTCTAAGAAAAGTTGGGCAAGAGTTTTGCTGATTACTTAGAAGTTAATCAAATACTATGTATAAGGCAGATTGCTTCTTTCTTAAAAATAGACCTCTTCCAGAGAAGTGTTGATTACAAAAATTACTTGTAATGTGTTCTTTGGGAAGTGTCACCTTTGACTATTTGCAGCAAACAGTAGATATCTGATGGTGGGAGTTGTTCTGTTGTGTGAATGTCTTTCCTTACTTTCCCCATCTCTTCCCTTAAAAAAGTGCTGTTCAGGTTTGTCGTGTGATACAGGTGTGCTTTAAAACTGCAATCTGTAATCCTTAGGAAAGATATTGCAGCCTGCATTAAAAAAAACCCAAAACAAACAACAAAATGCAACTAAGCCTTGTTTCCACTACTGCAGCAGCACGTGCTGCACTGAGAATGGCTGGGAGCTGCCAGAAAAAGAAGTGTTGAATAGTTGTATCTTCCCCTTAAGTTCTTTGGATTTGTCGTGTAAAGCAAAGTGGCACGTTTTATTCATTAGATCTTCTCTCCTTTTCTGAGACACAGTGTGTAGCAGAGGGAAGTGAGGCATGCTTCCTCCAGTGCATCAAATTATAAATATTCTGTATGGTCATGAACTTACTCAGCTGCAGGACCAAAGCAGAAAAAGCCGGATTGAGCAGTTAAACCGACTGTCCTCTGTGTTCAGCAGTACAGCTTCCCCATCTGAGAAAAGCTGTGGTTTGCTGACAGCTCACGATGATAGTGCTGCAGCTTAGATAGCAGCATCTTGTATAATGGTGATGGGGCATTCAAAGCAGTAAAATGGGAGGGTAGGTTAATTTCCACTAAATGAATATGGGATTTTTAGTCTTTTTTTTTTTTTTTCTTTTCAAATCTGTGAGATCCCATTCTCTCAACCCCACGAGAAACTGTCCAGTCCTAGTCATGGTTTCTGGTTATTATAGATTCTAGTATCTCTGTGGGTGATCTGCCCTTTCTCCTCCATGCCCCAAGTGAACTCTGAATTTTGTCATCCATATACAAGAAGGCAAGGTTAAAATTGTTGAAACAAGTATAAAAATAATTTCCTGCGTTTCCTATTATGTGATTCTCTAAAGGACCTCCTTGCCTTTGCTTTACTTGTCCTTATGAATAATAGAAAAGACAGTTCTATTTAAAATATACATTTAGATGTCTTTATGAATTCTAAATAGTATCTGTGCACATGTATATAAAGAATATGATTTCCCATTTCATATTCTTGTACTTCCTGAACAAATGAAAAACAAAGTTAATTTAAAGTATTATGTTCTGCTTGCTAGCTGGTCTGTCTACATTATTTCTACCATCTTTAAGTATTGCTAAAATTCTGTCTCTTGTGATGCTACATTTGCTTGTCTTCTTCATTTACAGTGAAGGTGTGATAGTTTCACTGGGCCAGCCCCTGGCCAGCAGCCAACACAGCCATTCACCCACTTTCCCCCCCACCCCCAGGGGATAGGGGAGAGGACTGGGGGGCAGGGATAAGGAGGCTCGTAGGTTGAGATAAGAACAGTTTAATAATAGAAATAAAAGGAAACTTAAAATAATACTAATATTAAAATAGTAGTGATAATGATAACAGTAACAAAATACGCGATGAGTGACACCCAGTGCAACTGCCCCCCACCCCCCGGCCGAGCCCGGCCTGTTCCCAGATAATGAACCCAGAGGAGCGACAATCCCGAACCGAAACCGCAATCCCGGGAGAGCGAGAGCCGGAGAGAAAGCCAGAGAGAGCAAAAGAGGAAGAGACCCTCACTGATATACTGGACATGACGGGATATGATATGGAATATCCCACTGGCATACCTAAATGCCAGTTTAGCTCATTAATTTAAATATTTCTCACCCCTTTAGATCTCGCACTTGCAGACTGACAGGACACAAAGTCCTTCACTTCCAGTGACAAAAATGCAAACGCTGGTGTGTTATCAGCGTCTCTCTCATAACAAGTCCCAGGCTGAAAAGCAAAACGCAATGCTATTCGAGCCTCTAAAAAGAAACCCAGCTCTGTTCCAGCTGAAAACCAGGACAGAAGGAAAGGCTATTTACAAACTTACTTTTTCATTTTGGCTTTTGTATTTACAGCTGTACCATGACTTGAGTATAATAAAATAAATGTTGTCAAGGGAACAAATCTCATAACTGCTTACGAAAAAATTGCTTTTGTGCAAAAGGAAAGAGGAATTTTCTAAGAATGTAGGACTAATGAAAGATAAAAAAAAGCTCAGTGGGAGCACTTCATGAAGGCTTTATAATGTAGGAATACAAATTTCCCGCATATTTTGCAGCTCATGTCAGAACTTAAATAAGGCAGCAGTAGTTTACAAATGAGGAACTGATGTCAGGTGAGCAAGGCTGAAATGTAGCTTCTAAAAGCTATAAGGTATTCTAGAGCTTTGTTCTACTAGATGTGTATCTTCCATTGTCTTTCATTTCATACTGATTTAAATTCTTGGAGTTTTTGGTGCTTTCTGTGGAAATAAAAAAGGACACAAGTATATTTACGTAACTGATTGACTCAGTCATTCTGAAGCATTAATTTTACTCTTGACTGGATTGTCAGTTGCAAATTCAAAATGATTAACTGTCCGTTGTGCAATACAAGCCTCAGTTCATGTGCTTCTACTGACTTTCTTAAAAATAGCAAGATTTACAAACATTTAGTTGCCGTATTTAACGTCAGTGGCACAGCTTGTGACATTTTCAGCCCTTTCAATGCATTTTAGCTCAAGTCCTGTGTGGATTTACTACAAATTAAAACTTTCATTGGTTTTAAAATATATTCAGTATATAGCTTTAAATAAGCTGCAGTATGTAATGAAGGGATACTTCTGTATTTGTAAGAATTTGCCAAGTCTTATGTTCTTAATAATCATTAAAATCTCTTCAACAGGACACTGATTTGAAAAAAACAGTGGATGAAAGTGCTCGGATTCAGAGAGCGTACAACCACTATTTTGACCTGACCATTGTAAATGACAACCTAGACAAAGCCTTTGAGAAGCTACAGACTGCTATCGAGAGACTGAGGCTGGAACCACAGTGGGTCCCAATTAGCTGGGTATATTGAGATTTCTCAAGAGGAGCTTCAGTAACAAATAAAATCAACTGCAGCAAATATGTTAATGTGACGTTGTGTAGATACCAACAATAACCTACGGCACCTGTGCATTTTTACTCTGTGTATATTCAAAAGTACACTGTTCTGAATTTTTATAAAAATGTTGAAGGGAAAGTGTACTTAAATATGTAATTTATTTTAATTTTTCTAACTTTTTACAGATAACCTTTCTATTCATATCACATGAAGGAAATGCGTTTAAGCATTTTTATATGTTTTGATTTAGTACCTTTGCCTTTTTCATCCAAGAAATGTTCAGTCATTCACTTCAGCATTTACATCTTGGTCTTACATTTTCACTGTGATTAAAAAAAAGGATACTTGAAACAATTTTTGTAAAACTTGTTAACGTCAGTGTTTAACTGGTCAAAAGTCTTTACCTCCTATTAGGAAAGAATACTAATTCCTTTGTTTTTTTTCTTCCTTTAAAAAATGACAATTTTAATGGGAGCAGAATTTTAAATATTAAAAGCAGCAACCAACACACAGCTCCATTGCTCCAGCTTCTTTCAGCTTAATGTTGGTGCATTCTTGATGTTTCACAAATTCTTTGTCTCTTCATTTAGACAACTGTTGTGTAGGTTCCCTTATACGTGTCTCTTAAAAGAACATAAAGCAACACCTCGCAAGCTGCTTATTGGGCTGCTCTTGGGAGCCAACCCGTTCGCCCATTACAGTTGAAGTACTGACCTTAGAAAGCTTGTACGCAAGGTAATTCAGTGCAATTTAAATAATGGTGAAGTAGCCTGACAGAGAAACTGATAACGTGGAGCCTTGTAGTGACACTTAATGTTTAGGACTATTTATTCACACTTGTGAAAACACTTTTGGGTAAAAAAAAAAAAAAAAAAAAAAGCATTTTCTTTCCTTAGGACATTATTTGATATTTGTATAGTGATCTATGGCTTAATTTTCTGTGAAATCTAGCGGTTCCCTATTATCTTTTTGAATATTTGTGTGTGATCAACTGCTGTATTTTTATGAGTGTGATGTAATGGAATTTCTGTGCTTTTTGTTACAGTATTTTTAATTGTATTTTTCATTAGATGGCTTGTGAATTGGAAGCTTACTGCTAAAAAGCAATGTTGTTTATACCTTTTAGTTTTGCAACGTATTTCCTTTTGTTTAGTGACAGCTTTCCCCATAGTAAGCAAGCTCATTTGTAGGTATTAGGTTCAAGTTCATCGATCAAAACTTATGCTGATGTAAATTTCTGCTTAACAAGAACAAAATGAAAATATAGCTTGTCACTAAGACTAGCTCTTTTTGTGACCATATTTTATATTATAGTCTCAGCTGTTGTATATAGTAACATTCACCATCACTTACCGGGTTAGGTGTGTAAACTGAAGTCATCTGTCTGTTTAATTTCTCTTCCATCTGGTGACAGGCACCTGGCTTCTGAATTCTTTCCAACACCAAAGTGTGACATGGAATGCTATCAAAGGGCAACTTCCTCAGAACTATTTCTGAAGGGAAAAGAAGTTTAGACATTGTAAACCAGTATTGCTTCCTTAAAGACTTTTATGTGCACAAGGGAAAGAAAAATGGAGTTGATGCAGTATAGGAAAAGTGTAAGTCTCAAAAAAACCCCTCAAAACACCAGTGTACTACAGATGATTTTAAAAAGCCTGTAAAGTTGGTTGTTGTGGGAGAAAGGGGCAGGGGGGGCTTGAGATCCCAGTGGATGTGGGAAATGTCAGTCGAAACTGTGTATAGCACAGATATATTTGTGGCTCTTAATACTGAGATTTCAGTTATTTGGAGGGGATCTGTAATTTTCTAAGGAAAATTTGTACCACTACTTTGTTTCATTGTTATACTTTTCAGGATGTCTTTTCTCTGGTTTTGTTTTCAGTTTGGCAGAGCTTTTAAATGTGGCACCAGCACGAGACTTTTATTTTCCTTTCCCAGGAGACATGTTCTGTGATCCTGTTGCTCAGAGGCTGCTTTGAGAAGTGGATCGAATGTTGTATGTAGCAGCAATGATAGCAGAGCCATTGCTTGCCTATTTTAATGATTTGCTGTTGGCACTATCTATCTGCTGAACGTGACTCAGCTGTGTTCGTATACTGTGTAATAGGAGATCTACATATGCTGTAAATAAGATGTGCTATCTGGACAGATACAATGCCTTTTCATTATGAGTTAGAAAATACGCTATTTGTGATGCCAAAAGTGGGCTGAGCTGACTCTTCCCTAATGAATGGAGTGAGAAGATTCTTCTGTTTCCACAACATAGTACTTATTTTCATCTTCCTTCCCCCACCCCCATTTACTTACCCAAATGAAACACATGAAACATGGGCACCATGATTTAGTCAGAAAAACCTCTCTGCTCCTGTTTCCATCCCGGAGAGAATACTATCAAAAGAGCCTCCCTAGTTAGCAATCTCCAGATCACCATGTATTTGCTAAAGCCTAAAGCTTTACCTTTTGCTACAGGTTCATGTTGTGTTTTTAAATCGAGCAGTTCACACAGTGGAGCCAGGTGGCTGACTGTTGGGTGGTGTTAATGCAGGTGCTAGTGAGAAGTACAGTTCTGAAGCAGTGAGAGAAGGTGGCTTGCTTAGGTTGCGTGCAAAGATCATGTCAAAGTGTCTGTGGGTTTTAACTGGATGTCACCATGCAGGTTATAAGGAAGAAAACTCCACAAAACCAAGCATGATTCTTCTTACATCTAGTAGTTAAATCTTGAAAATTGAGAGTTCAGATTGGCAGGTATTTAACGCTGGGCGGGGGGAGAGGGGTTGTTTTGTTTTTGAGCTCCTGGGTTTTGTTTTGTTTTTTAGCAAAATCTGATTTTCATCAGATATTCTGCCTGGTAGGATGACTAGAATGAGAATGGTGGTTACTTTTTTCAAAAAATAACATTCTTGGAGGTTCTTAGAATGATGGTGCCATTTCAGAAATACACACAGCAGCAGTAGTCTCTGCCTCGTAGGATATGCTAGATTAGATGTGAGATGGAGACCTGCACATTGTATAGTTAAGGGAGAAAGGCACTATGAAAGGCTAGTTTTGAGCAACTGAAAATATTTCATATAACAGCCACTTGAAGTATTTGGGGGGGTTTAAAATAACTAGGATTTAATGTATCTCATTCTTTACTAAACATTCATTTTCCAGATACTAACAGGAAAACTTTTTACATTGACTGTTAATGGTAAAAATAGGTGAGCCTGAGCGAGGTGAAGATGCTGCTAAATGTTTAAGATATGTGGTATGTATCACAAGATAAATATTTAAATAGTTTAGAAAAATAAATTATCAAATAGTTGTCTGTGTATATGTATGTATGTGGATGGTAAAACAAAAAAATGCTCATGTCTGCTATCACATTACTAAGCTACCATGACTTAATCCAGAAATGTACCTGCATGTGAGACTTTAGAACCAGTACACTTCTCTGCCTGGTTTATTGTGTTTACTAATGTATATTTTTCTAAATATACAGATATTTCAATCTAAAAATTCTATATTTATCTGTAATTTCTATCTGTTTTGGACAGTGCATGAGGTGCTGTAAAGTTCTGTACATATAGAGACTTATAGAAGAAACACTGTAGTTGCCCTGTGAATGAGAAGTTATACATAAAAGTACAGTCAGGATGCCCAGACCTGTAACTTACATCTGTAAGTGCACCAAAACTGCACTTAAGTGTGGACCAGTATGTAAATACTTTGGTGCACATGTACCCAAGTGGTCACCTTGCTGTCTCCAAATGTTACACTAGCAGGTCTACTTTAGGTTCTACACCATGTGACAAGATGCAGTCAATTAAAGTTTAGTGGGATAATTATAATGGGATATGTCAACTTGCATAGATTTATAAAGATCTTTCCAAATGTCCTGCAAATATAAAATGAAGATAAAATTGGAGCAGAATCACAGACCGACATGGGCAAGGGAAATTGAATTTATAACCAGAGCAGTGCCCTTAACTTGTGCTGTGTTCTCCGATCAGTGCAGCTCTCTGTACTTACCCGTACAAAGCTGTGTGAAGCACGATGGCAGATCAGCTCATCACTTTTGAATGTGTTTATATTATCTGTCACATCTTGGATAGGCTCTAACTGTGACACTCTTCTTCCCGGTCCTCTGTACAATTCTAACTCATTGCATCTTCTAAGATCTTACCTAAGTGACTTGCAGTACAAATTGCCTGCAGCTCTGTTTTTTGTTTGTTTTGAAGAGGGTGATTCAGATATGAAACAGGAAACTTTTTTTCTCTTTCAAGCACAGAAAATTCCTGGCTTAGGTACCCTTTGGAGCCAAACTTGCCTCTCTGTTATGCTTAAGGGCCAGTGGAGAGCAATCAAGTAGAGCAGCACTGCAGAAATCAGGAGATGTGGGATACTGCCTGTCTTTACACGAGCTGTTACTGTGAACGTGAACAAATTCAAGTTTCCTTTACCTCTTCCTTGGTTTCCCATCCAGTCTTCATCAATCTTCCTTCTTCATTCAGACTGAACTTGGAGGCAGATGCTGTTTCTCAATAAATCTATAGTGCCTGCAGCAGTAGATTGATTCCCTGTCACTCACTGTTCCTGTAGGTACAGCTTTATGACAAACTATAGGTGGAGGTCTGTTGCAACTGTCATGCACGTGTGTATGGACTACTTGCTTCATGTAGGGTTTCCTGCCTCCCCCTAATTCTGAAGCACTAGAATACTGCATTGTTATTGCCAAACTTAATGATACTATGTTTGCAAAAACTGGTGAGAAATCACTGTATCCAGGTCTAGGTGGTGGTTCTTGGATACAGACTGGCAGCCTGTGGAGCCTCTTGCCTTAAATACCCTCCTGCTGCCCGCCCTACGCAGAGCCTCTCCTGGGCTGTTCCAGGGATGGCTGTAGTTGAAGGTAGTGTCATTTGCTTTCTCTGGTGGCCTGTCATTACCGAAGGTGGTGAAGTGAATGGTGGGCCCAATTTTGGTTTTTTTTCCTGGCTTTCTTTTTTTTTTGCCTACTCTTCTTTTTTTTGTATTTTTACAAAATAAAATTTCCTGTATTTTTAACAAGCTTACTGCTGGGAATCATCTGGAATCCTCAACTTGTGTCTTGCAGAGGAACTAGTGGTCAATATAAGCATCAGTATTTAAGACTGGTATAACTTACTGTTTGCAGTCCAAAGACAGGGAATTTAGGAAAAAAAGTTAACACACTTGTAAAATAACCAATTTTCAGAGACAGCTTTGGCTTCCAAACATTTAAAAAAAGTGCACTCGTGTGCACACACACAGAGAAATAGCTAAATAAAACAGGGGCAAGTACTGCAAGTAATTCACAGTATCTGCCCATTTACCCAAATTCTCCCTGGTGCGACACTGTTCCACAAGCTGCCACGTGTTAAACTGCTGAAC